GAAAAGGAAGGGGGGGGGGGGCACCCCCGCATTCCGGACGGGTCCTCCGTATTATCTTACTTCATGTCCACCTTGACTGGCAGCAGAATCTTTTCGCGGCGAGACTATCGTTAAGGGGCCCGTCCTCCCCCTCGCCCCTCGACGTCCGCTCCGACGTCACATTTCGACTCTCTTGTGTCACTTTAGCGGCTAATGTAGCGTCAAACGAGCGCCGCGTGGTTCGGCAGTTGGCATTGCCCGTGGGGGTAGCGTGGCGGTGCGCGGCGTGGCGGGCGTAGCTCAGGGCTATGCTTGGAGCCCCGCGCCTTGGCCTCGAGCGAAGCAACGCGAAGCGACATCTAATTATAAAGAGCCGATAAACGAAGCTGCCTCGCGTCGCGTCGCAGGCCAACAACTGCGACATTTATTTGTTTCTTTGGTGTCATGTAATGCCGGAACAATCGCCGGCGTGTTATTTCTTTACAAAGCCCTCGCTTGTGGTCCCCACCTTCAACTCATCCGACGCACTGTTGCAGGGGCCGGACATGGTTCGGGTGTCCAAGTTCTACAAGGAGGCGCGCGAGGGCAAGTTTGTGAGCTGCCTTCACTCGGACGCGAGGACGCTGTACGACACATTCCGCAGAGGCGCTAAGGAATCAAGTAAGTCCCCGGATTCCTTCAACCACGGCAAACTCCGCCTACCCACTGATCTGTTTACTAAGATGAAGCACTCTTCCACTCGCAGACAACGGGCCGTGTCTGGGATGGCGCGAGACACCCACCAAGCCCTACCAGTGGCTGCACTACAACGAGACCCTGCTCAGGGCCAAGAACCTCGGCTCGGGGCTGGTCACGCTCGGGCTCGCGCCGGGCGTCAAGTCGTTCGTCGGCATCTACTCGGTCAACTGTCCCGAGTGGGTGCTCACCGAGCAGGCCGTGTACGCCTACTCCATGGTCCTGGTGCCGCTGTACGACACCCTCGGGCCGGACGCGACCGCGTTCATCATCAAGGAAGGTAAGACCGTCAACGTCAGCGGCCATGTCGATATTCTCTACGCGGCCGCTGCGTTGGAGGGTTCTAACGCTCTTCTCGCGGCCCACAGCTGAGATCAGCGTGGTGGTGTGCGAGGACGACGCCAAGGCCAACCTGCTCCTGGAGAAGGCGCCGCGATGCCTCAAGAAGATCGTGACCATCAAGCCAGTCCAGACACCCACCGCGGCCAAGGCCAAGGCCAGGTTCGTCGACATTCTCTCGCTCGACGAGCTCGAGAGGATGGGCGCCGCCAAGGGCCACCCGGAAGTGGTGAGTTGTCAATGGTTTAGTTTCTTGTGATTGAAGCAAAGGGTCGTCTCTTCAATGTGCGTCCTCGCTCTTTCAGCCCCCTAGCAAGGACGACCTGTGCACCATCTGCTACACCTCGGGGACGACGGGCAACCCCAAGGGCGTGATGCTGACCCACGAGAACGTGGTGGCCTCCATGAGCGCCGTCATGATGCAGATGGGCGACCAGCGGCCCAACTCGAGCGACGTGCTCATCTCGTACTTGCCGCTCGCGCACATGCTGGAGCGGTGCTGCCAGAACGCCATGTACTCGGTGGGCGGCGCGGTGGGCTTCTTCACGGGTGACATGCACCGGCTCACGGACGACTTCAAAGCGCTCCGGCCCACCGTGATGCCGGCCGTGCCGCGCGTGCTCAACCGCATCTACGACAAGGTGAGGGTGCGCGCGGAGCCCAGCTCGACGGCGGCGCGTGGCCGTGGACTTACCCCCTTGACTCTGACCGCTCTTCTTCCCTAAGGTGATGGCCGAGGCGGCGAACTCCTTCGTCAAGCGGCTCACGCTCAGCCTCGCGCTCAGCGCCAAGGAGAGCGAGATCCGACGGGGCATCCTGCGCAACAACTCGTTCTGGGACGTGCTCGTGTTCCGCAAGGTGCAGGACGCTCTGGGCGGGCGCGTGCGCCTCATGGTGGTGGGCTCGGCGCCCATCTCCGGCTCGGTGCTCAGCTTCATCCGCTGCGCGGCCGGCTGCCTCGTCATGGAGGGCTACGGCCAGACCGAGTGCACCGCGCCCATCACCCTCACCGTGCAGGGCGACCACGTGCCCGAGCACGTCGGCCCGCCCGTCGCCTGCTGCTGCGTCAAGCTCGTCGACGTGCCCGAGATGGAGTACATGGCGGCCAACGGCCAGGGCGAGGTGTGCGTCAAGGGCACCAACGTGTTCCAGGGCTACTTCAAGAACCCCGAGCAGACGGCCGAGGTCAAGGACAGCCAGGGTTGGCACCACACTGGCGACATCGGCATGTGGCTGCCGAACGGCACACTTAAAATCATCGACCGCAAGAAGCACATCTTCAAGCTCGCCCAGGGCGAGTATATTGTGCCGGACAAGATCGAGATGGTGTACGCGCGCAGTCAGTACGTGCACCAGGTGTTCGTTCACGGCGAGTCTCTCAAGGTGCGTGTAATAGCCTGTTCGTCTTGTGTCTGCTGCTTCCGTTCTTTTCGATCTGAACGCCCTATTTCCTTTGTTGCAGTCGTGCGTGGTCGCCGTGGTCGTGCCGGACGTGGACGTCATCAAGTGCTGGGCCACAGAACACAACATCCCCGGGACCCTGTCTGTGCTCTGCAACAACTCCCAGGTCAAGCAGCTCATCCTGGACGACATGCTGGCCTGGGGCAAAGAGGCGGGACTCAAGTATTACGAACAGGTAAGGATCGTCGAATGGCGCCGGGTGGGTGGGCAACCCATTCGACAGCGACCGCCGTGGGGTGGGGTTCTCTGAAACTTCTTCAACCTGAACAAGGATTACAACGACTGCTTGTTCATAGCGAACTCGGCATGTTTTAATCAATCGTACTCTGCGTTTTCGTCGCCAGGTCAAGGACATCTACCTTCACCCAGACCCCTTCTCGGTACAAAACCATCTCCTCACGCCAACACTTAAGTCCAAGCGGCCTCAGCTCAAAGCGTACTTCAAGCCTCAGATCGAGGACATGTACGTGAAGTTGGCCTGAGCGGCGTGTCTCGCCAGTATGACGCGAACTGTCGCGTTGAACGGACGAAATCGAGTCAGAGGCCAGTGCCGACCAGCCGTGGCCTGAGGGAGATGAACTCGCTGGAGGCCCGGTGAGGCAAGGCTGAGGAGCGAGGGCTGCTGCTCGGGGGTGCCCGCTCTAGCCCTCGCCCTCGCGGTCCATTTATGTGAGTGTGTGAGAGTGACACTCAGTGTAATAATCAATCATACGTCTGTGCTACGAGGAAGAAGTTACTGTGCTCTACCCTCGCTTGGACACTGTTTGACAAAGCGACAGCAGTGGCGCCTCCTCCATTTGAAAGCAAAGTGTCTCTTCATTTTCATGTGAGAGGTAGGTGTTTCTTAGTTTTTGTGCAAAAAAGAAAATGATTCCATAATGATGTGGGTGACATGTAACCCTCGAAAGAACCTAGTGATCTGTTTGTTTGAAAATGCTGGTTAGTTATGGCCACAGATCTCTCGAGATTTTCTCAGATGTAATGTGTATGTGTGCCAGTCAATTGTTTGAAAATGTCTGTTTGGTTTAATCGCACTGCACCTAGGTGGCAATTTATTCCAAGACCAATGTTGTTAATGTGTCAGGTGTGAGATGCCTGCTATATAAGAAAATGTTACAAATTATTGAAATTCTAGAGTTGCGTTTACTGCTCCATTCATTAACAAATGAGTAGTGACCAGTGATTACAAGGTATGGACCTCAAGTGAAAAGGCAAAACTTGTAAAGGAATCTATGTATTTCCATGAGCTGTATTAATCGTCAAGTTGCATCTTATCAAGGATGCATCTTTTTTAACTTGTTGGAAGTTTTGCCTTAATAACTTGAGGAAGTGCGAAAAGGAAAATGGTGATGATTAATTTAAAGTTATCTCCATATCAGAATTTACCTTGGATTGCACATTCTTTCTGGTCTCACATGCTGATTGCTCTTACCCTTTTTCCATTAAAACATTTCACCCAAGCAAGAATTATTGAGACAATTGTGTAGAGTAAAAAGGTAACCATGGTACTCTTGAAAGAAAATGTCAATGAATAGTCTATTCATTGAAACAAAGGTCACAGTTTGAAGTAATAGGCAATATTTTCCAGAAGAATTGAGCCCTAAATATAAATATTCAACTTCTTAGGGCTGTTTTGGGGATTCAAGTGCCTTTTTGTTAACTATTTGTATAGCTGTTTCACTTTCCTGTTCTATTGAGAGGGGACCAATGTGGGAAGGTTTGTCCCTTATTTTGCAGATGTAAACATATAACAGTTTGATAAAAAGATTTACAAAGTATTCTCTGTAATTCTTTCAAGTTGGTCAAAAAAAAAAATAATCAAGAAACGATAGAGGATGACTGTTCATTTTGATAATAGGGCAGACCCTCCAATATGAACATTGAAAACATATACTTTAATTTGTAGCTCATGGTGCTCCTAGCATATATCTTGTCAATTCAAAATCTATGATCCAATGCATGTCAATAACTTACCGTCCACTATGAGCCAGTCAAGGTGGTCAAAGCACATTTTGACAGAATGAGTGAATTGTAACTTTACAATGGGTCAATTTTCAGCAATAATTAAAAGTGAATGTGAAGAAACTGATCTACTTCAGTGGTGAGAGTGGACAGGGTAATACGTAGAATGCAAACATTGCAATATCTTTTTTGTATCTGCTCTCTTCTTTTCTTGGAAAAATAAAAATAAAAACCAAACAAAAAAATCAAGCAAAAATAAACATTTTATCTGGAA